GAGGCAGGAGGATTGAAAATTCAAAGCCAGGCTCAGCAATTTAGTGAGACCCTGTCTCAAGATAAAAAGGATGTAGCTCAGTGGTAAAGTGCCCCTGGATTAAATCCSTGGTTCCAAAACCAAAAATGCTGGGAACAATTATCCTCAGTACAAAAAAAAATATAGTTCTTCTTATTAGTAGCTATATGTATCTACACAATATATTGCAGTTTTATTTTTTCCCTCAAATAAAAAGTTTATTTACTATTTATTTCTTGAAATTTTTTTCTTGTGATAAAATGTATATAATACAAAATTTGAAATTTTAACAATAAAAAGCCATTCTTTTTTTATTATAATTGTAAACACATATTGATTTGAACCATTCTTAAGTGTACGATTCAGTGGCGTTCATTACATTAGCAATGTTACACAACCATCACCACTGTTTCCAAAATTTTTTCCTCATCTCAAACAGAAACTCTGTACCTATTGAGCAATTTTAAAAAACCCCATTCCTCCTCCCCCAGCTCCTGGCAGCTTCTACTTTCTGCCTCCATGAATTTGCCTATTTTAGACTTTAACATAAGTGGATCATATAATGTCTGTTCTTTTGTGTCTGGCTTGTTTCATGTAGCTTGTTTTCAAGGTTTATTCATGTTGTAGCATTATCAACCTCATTTCTTTTTATAGGCAAATAATATTTTATTGCATTGTTTCTGCATTCTCCTGCTGTTTCTACCTTTTGGCTGTTGTGAAAGTGCTTCAGTGAATACTGATTTAGGAGTCTCTGATTTCAGTTTTTTGGGGTCTGCATCTGGAAGTGGAACTACTGCAATTCTATTAGATTTTTGAGTGGTTATCCACAGAGAATGCACCATTTTATATTCCCACTATCAAAATATGAGGGTTTGGGCTGGGGTTGTGGCTCAGTGGTAGAGCGCTTGCCTTGCATGTGTGAGGCACTGGGTTCGATTCTCAGCACTGTATATAAATAAATGAATAAAATAAAGGTCCATCAACAACTAAAAAATATTTTTTAAAAAATAGAGGGTTTCGGTCACTTCCTCCCGGAAGCTGGCCTCGGCGGATGTCTCCGGCGCGACCGTGCTCGGGGCTGAGGGCCGCCGTGGCCGCCAGCGTGGGGCTGAGCCAGGGGCCGACGGGCTCCGCTCGTAGCGGACGYCTTCTCCGCCCGCCGAGCCCCGCTCTAGCGGCGCCGGGGGCCCGGCTGTTGCGGCTCCCGGGAAATGGGGCCGTGCAGGCCGCAAGTCCTGAGCGCGCTGGCTGGACCGAGGCACTGCGGGCCGCCGTGGCSGCCGTCCCCGCAGACACGCTGTCCGGCCTGGCCTGCTCGGCCAGCTGCTCGGCGGCACTGGACGCTG